CTGTAATCCCAGCACTTTGGGAGGCTGAAGCGGGCAGATCACCTGAGGTCAGGAGTTCAAGACCAGCCTGGCCAACATGGTGAAACCTCATCTCTACTAATAACACAAAAATTAGCTGGGCGTGGTGGCAGGCACATAATCCCAGTTACTCGGGAGGCTGAGACAGGAGAATCGTTTGAACCCCGGAGGTGGAGGTTGCAGTGAGCTGAGATTGCGCCACTGCACTCCAGCCTGGGTGACAAGGGTGAAACTGTCTCCAAAAAAATTAAAAAAAAAAAAAAAATAGGGATGAGATCTTGCTATGTTGCCCAGGCTGGTCTCGAACTCCTGGCCTCCTCATCCTCCTGTCTCAGCCTCCCAAAGCGCTGGGGTTAGAGGCATGAGTCACCGTGCCTGGCCTAAGGCAGTCCTTGGCTCCAATTTATCCATTATCTCCTGGGTTTTACTTGAGGCTCTTACCCTAGAGAGCATCCAGGGATGGCTTTCAGGAGGTGAGGTCTGAATCCCAGCACTGTCCTCAGGTGGTATCACATTGGGCAAGGTACTTCCCCTTCCCAGGCCTCAGCTTCTCTGCTATAAAGTGGGGATGATACTTCCTGCTATGACTGTCTCTTAGGCTGCTATGAGAATGGAGGGAAAGTCCTTTGGAAAGGACTGCCCTTTCCTGCTAGCTGTGCAGTGGGGGCTTTTCATTCTCCTATCCTTCCACCACCCCGGGTCACAACCTCCTTAGCCCTGTATTTTAACATTCGTGTTGGTTTCCCCACCTAATGGTCATCTTGGGGATGGGGATGGGGATCGAGTCTAGCTTGACACACAGGATCCGTCAGGGGATGAGAGATGGACATACTGGACTGGCGGCATTCCAGGACCCTTACTAGTCCCTGCCTCCAGGCTCCTCTTCATGCATTCTCAGTCCTTCCTGCAGTGTCTCCCCTTCACTCATCACCATGTATACTTTCACTACCTGAGAGCCGTTGCGTGGACTGCAGCCCTATCTCAAATACCCTCCCTGCTCCTCTTCACTTGTATGTAACCACCCACTTCTGTAGCTCAGCTTAATGCTACTTATTCCAAGGAGTCCTCCCTGAACACAACAGCTGTGGCTTTCCTGACCTGTTTTCTGGGCTTTGGAAGCCCTGTTAGCACCATTCACAGCGGCACTAAATGAAGACAAGCATACTGGGAGCACCTTGTCCCCTCTCTCTGACTTTTCCCTGCTGTGATCATACGCTTGAGAGCCGCAACACACCATGCTCCGGGTGGGAACACCTAGCAGGTATTCAGACGTTATGTATTCTACTGAACATCATCTCCAAGTCTGTCCAGCTGTTTTTCTAGTTGTTTCTGTTCTCTCTTCTCCCTCAGACAGACCCAGGGCTCCCCTGGAGTGGGGTTGTGCCTCCCCCATAAGACTAGGCCCCTCTGGAGTGGCTGTTCTCTGCCATTAGAATGAAATTCTCTTGGGGGGATTCTTGACTCCCCATCAAACTAGAGGTTTCCTGAGAACAGAGGCCAGGCCTCGTCCTCTTTTTGTGACTTCCAAACTTCCCAGAACACCCACCACAGGCCCAACCATGCTCCTTGCGTGCAAGGTGCCTGAGCTCACGGCTAAGCCTGAAGGCAGCCAGTGTGGCATCCTCACTGGCCAGTGAGAGGTGGGCCTTGCTGGCAATGCCACGGTAGGTGTTGATGCAGGACAGAGAGAATTTAAACAGGTCATAGCGGCGGGCGTTGCTGCACTTGAGGCAGGCACAGGAGACCAGGTGGGGCCAGGCAATGGTGTGGCCCTGGTCCGTGAGCAGCTGTGCTATCTCGTACAGGTCCTTCTGGCAGGCCAGGGTGAGAGGAGTCACACCAGGTGCAAAGCGGGAGCCATCAATTAATGAGTCAAAGAAAGCCAGTGAGAAAGACCTGGTGTCTACTTTGCGACCCTTCTCCCGTTCCAGGTGGGCCAGCAGGCGATGCACCACTGCTGGTTGCTTTGTGTCCACTGCCACTAGCAGGGCCTCATGGATCTGGCGGAAGTCAAACTTGACACTGGCCAACAGCACATCAGTGATGGCCTCATGGCCCAGGTGGATGGCCAAGTTGAGTGCTTCCCTCCAGGAGTGCTCCTTGGCCTCTTCCACATTGTGCAGGGGCCCACCTGGCCCACTGCTTGTGGCCTTAACCTCTGACTCCAGCAGCTGCTGCACAAGGCCCAGTTGGCCCTCCTGGATGGCAGCCAGGAGTGGAGGTGGGAACCTGAGCTTCCTGTTCATGATCTCAGTCCAGTTAGGCTGTTGGTGGATGAAGGAGTGGAGAGGCTAGGACCCTGAGTTTCAACCCCCTTTGTGATGGGGCCTCTTTCACCCTTCCATGTTCTAGCACTTAACCCTCTATATCCAGCCACCATTATATTCTTCCTTGTCCCAAATACACACTGGCAAATATTGTCTTATTCATCATTTTATTGTGTAGATTCTCAGGTTAGGAAAATCAAGACTGTACAGTGGGGGCTTTCTTTTCTTCCCCCACTGGGGAGAGAATGGGGGCCCCTTCCTCAGCTGAGTTTGACTGGGGGCCCCTTCCCCAGCTTGACTTCCACCCTCACAGGAGCCCCCCAACAGCAGGGCTACCTGTGGGTACCTTGAGCAAGGGTAGGTTAAAGCAGGGGTCGGCTGCCCTGGCAGCCTAACCCCACATACAGGTGCACAGGATCTATTCAGACCCAGCTCCCCTCTTGCTGACTTCATCTCCCAGATGCTCCTTCCTCTCAAAGTCCCAGAGCCTCTCCCAAGGGCAGGCCCGGACATGTCCACACAGGAGGGTTTTGTGTGAGTTTTGAACTGGGTTTTTGTCAAGCCCCTCAGTTCTGACCAGGACCCCAGCAGAATCCCAATATCCTCTTTCTTCACCAATCCTCCCGCTTTGCCCTCCCCTGCTTTGGGGGACCTTTCTCCCCCTTGGCACTGCCTCGTCCCTCTCTTCGACTAGGCCTGGCCCCATCCTCACTGCTCTTCTCTCCTGGGTCCAAGATCAGGGTTCCAGGGGCTCTTCTCCCACCTACATAGTGATGTCTGCCACCTGCTTGGCAGCTAGGATGCCCCTGCAGTGCCTCTGGGCCAATCTTTTGTTTTATTCATGGGTAGAAACGGGAGCAGAATAGGAGAAGGTAGGGGAGCAGGCTTCTTACGGTGATGGGGTCTGTGGTTGTGCCTACTTATGCAGGCACCTGTGCTGGCAGGGACCGAAGGACTGAACTCCTGCTCAGTCTTTTCCTTAACTGTGCCTAGCATCCTCTTTCCTATCTATTCAAAACCCTGCCCTGGGCCCTCTCTTTGCAGGACCAGCTGCTCCCCCTCTGCTCTATACCCTGGGGACCAGGGGAACCGGTGTTAGTACCACAGAGTGAAATCTTCTGGGAAAGGGGAGAGAAGACATATTTGCTCAAGGAGGTGGGAACAGAATTTGGAATATCACAGCTTGAGGGAACCTTTGACATCCTCTGGTCCAACCACCTCCTTGTGTAGATGAGGAATGGGATCTGCCCAAGGTTCTACAGCCAAGCCTAGAACTACTCCTTACTCATTAACCAATCTGGTCCCTATGACAGTTCTGTGAGTGGGAGGTTGGGAGATTTTTTTCTCTGTTAATTCTGGATGCTAAAATAAATAACTTGCTTAGTGTCACATAGCATCACCATTACCTGAATATACCCAGGGCAGGAGCCCACAAAGGAGACTGAGAGCTCAGTTCATGAGATGCTGGATGTCAGCCTCGTGCTCAAAACCCATATGCACATTCCCAGCACACCACAGGATTTTATCTGTCAGGCAGCATTTGCTCTTCACTAGGCCTCGGTTTTCCTTTCAGGAAAATGGGCATGAGAATGTGCACCACTCACAGAGGGAAAGACATTCTGGATGGTGTCCCAAGGCCCAAAAGTTCCAAGGAGACTTCCAAGGGGTAAAAGAACAGAGCTGGCCTTAGGAGAATCAGATGCCATGGTCACAGAAGCCTTGACAACTGGGAATGAGGATCAGGCTAGGCACAGAGGTGCCCTTAGGCAGAGTCCTGAGGGAATGAGTGGAGGGGAGGAGAGAGGGAGCTTCGGCCTCATCAGCCCTTCTCAGCTCTCAAGCTATTCAGTCCCCATCTCAGTCTTAGAGGGTGGGGCAAAACCACAGGACCTCATGGCTCATGCCTGAGGGAAGTCCCCACATATACTGGCATGCTCTTCTATTTCTCTTGCTGAGAACTGCAACTGGCAGATAGGGCACTGAACCCAGGAGACAGGGGGTGAACTTTCTGGGGAGGACACCCACAGTACAGACTGGGACGAAGATGATGAGGAGGGAGAAGCTGGGTGAGGTGGGGAGGTCTCTCCACAAGTGGCAGCATGCTGGGGAAGAATCTCAATCCTGAAGGAGCCTATTTGGGGAGAGAAGGAGGTAAACAAAATGGCCTGCTCCCAGGCAGGATGTCACCCCAAGAAGTCTGGATAAGCTATGAAGACAAATAACATTGATACACAGCAGACAGTGAGAAGTGCTAAGTCCAAGGGAATCAGAGAATCCTGCAGAAGCTTAGTTGGGAAAGATGATCTGGGCAGATAAGAGAACACTTGGCCAAGAAGAACCATTTGAACGGAGACTGAAACAGCAACCAGCTGTTTCAACTTCAGGAAAAAGTTACGAAGGAAGTTCTAGGCCCTCTCCGATTGTGTTTTACATTGTTTGGTTTCATGCTTCGCCAGAGGGCAGGGCCCATGTCCCTTCCTCAGCTTAGCCGGCACAGTGTGAACAGGTGCTCAGTACACACTTGTCTTGAATTACACTTGACTAAAAATACAGTTCCACACCTGAGAGCTGCAGAGATGACAGAAGCCAGCACTCCAAATTCAAATGTTTCTTGGCAGTACTCTCAGATCTCCCATTCCTCCCTCAAGGAATGCCTAGTTGTCATACAACAACTCCCTGTGCACAAGTATCTTACCTGCACAAATCGGGCACAGTCCACTATCCTGGTCACCACTGCTTTGGGCCTGGGGTCGGTGCTGTTTTTTTTGCCTTGCTCTTGCTGTCTCCCTCCTGTTTGGCCGAGAATTAGAGTTGGATACAGGCCTGTGAGAAAGAACAGTTAAAGACCAGCTATTAGTAAGAGGCCATAAGGGCTGAAGGAGCCTGGAATCACAGCAAAAATAATGCAGAAGAGTTAATGTAGACCTAGAAACCCTGGGTTGGGGTCCTGGTTTTCCCACCTGATGTACCAGACTTGAGGGAAGACATTTAACCTTTGAACATCTGAGAACAGAGATTCCATTATCGCCCTTGCGTTATTATTTTTTAATTGAAATGTAGTACACATACCGTAAAACTCACTCTTTAAAAATATAAATTCAAGGCCAGGTGTGGTGGCTCACACCTGTAATCCCAGCACTCTGGGAGGCCAAGGCAGGCGGATAACCTGAGGTCAGGAGTTTGAGACCAGCCTGGCCAACATTTGCCTGTCTCTACTGAAAATACAAAAATTAGGCCGGACGCAGTGGCTTACGCCTGTAATCCCACCACTCTGGGAGGCCGAGGTGGGGGGATCACCTGAGGTTGGGAGTTTGAGACCAGTCTGACCAAGACGGAGAAACCCTGTCTCTAATAAAAATACAAAAATTAGCTGGGAGTGGTGGCGGGCGCCTGTAATCCCAGCTACTCAAGAGGCTGAGGCAGGAGAATCGTTTGAACCCGGGAGACAGAGGTTGTGGTAAGCTGAGATTGCCCCATTGCACTCCAGTCTGGGCAACAAGAGCCAAACTCCATCTCAAGCAAACAAACAAAAAACAAAAATTAGCTGGGTGTGGTGAACTGCACCTGTAGACCCAGCTTGGGAGGCTGCGGCAGGAGAACAGCTTGAACCTGGGAGGCTGAGGTTGCAGTGAGCTGAGATCACGCCACTGCACTCCAGACTGAGTGAGAAAGCACAACTCCGTCAATTTTCAATTGTTTATATATATATAAATTCAATTCAAAACCCTGTATTGACAGAGTTCTGTAACCACAACCATGTAATTCCAGAACATTTTCACTACTCCCAAAAGAAACCCAGAACCCAGGCTGGGCGCAGTGGCTCATGCCTGTAATCCCAGAATTTTGGGAGGCCGAGGCAGATGGATCACCTGAGGTCAGGAGTTCAAGACCACCCTGGCCAACATGGCAAAACCCCATCTCTACTGAAAACACAAAAATTACCTGGGTGTGGTGGTATACACCTGTAGTCCCTGCTACTTGGGTGGCTGAGGCAGGAGAATGGCTTGAACTAGAAGGTGGAGGTTGCAGTGAGCCGAGATTGTGCCACTGCACTCCAGCCTGGGTGCCAGAACAACACTTTGTCTCAAAAAAAAAAAAAAAAAAAGAAAGAAAAGAAAAGAAAGCCTGAACCAGACTCTGGCAACTGCTAATCTACTTTAGTGGTTTGGAATTGCCTATTCTGGACATGAAATCATATACTATATGGTTTTTTGTGACTGACTTCTTACACTTAGTATGGTTTCAAGGTTCATCCATGTTGGAGCAGGTATCAGTACTATATTCCTTTTTTATGGCAGAGTAATATTCCACAGCATAGATATACCACATTTTATTTATCAGCTGATAGACACTTGGGTTGTTTCGATTTCTGGGCTATTATTAATAATGTTGCTCTGAACATTTGCCTGTAAGTTTCTGTGTGAACACCTGTTATCAATTCTTTGGAAGTATACACCTAGGAGCTGAACTGCTAGGTCATATGGTAACTCCATATAAACATTTTGAAAAACTGCTAAACTGTTTTCCAATCAGCTGCACTAATTTACATTCCCACTGGCAATATGTATGAGAGTTTCAGTTTCTCCATATCTTTGCCAACACTTGTTATTGTCCATCTTTTTTATTACATCATCCTAGCAGGTGTGAAATAATCATTGTGGGGTTTTGATTGGCATTTCTCTGATGGCTAATGATGTTGAGCATCTTCTATGTGCTTAATAGCCATTTATATATCTTCTTTGGAGAAAATTCTATTCAGATTATTTGTCCATTCTAAAAATTAGGGTATCTTTCTACTGTTGACTTGTAAAGGTTCTTTATATATTTTAGATAAAAGAGCCTTACTGGGCCAGGCATGGTGGCTCAAGCCTGTAATCCCAGCACTTTGGGAGGCCGAGACAGGCGGATCACAAGGTCAGGAGGTCGAGACCATCCTGGCTAACCCGGTGAAACCCCATCTCTACTAAAAAAAAAAAAAATACAAAAAACTAGCCGGGCGAGGTGGCGTTCGCTTGTAGTCCCAGCTACTCGGGAGGCTGAGGCAGGAGAATGGCTTGAACCTGGGAGGCGGAGGTTGCAGTGAGCTGAGATCTGGCCACTGCACTCCAGCCTGGGCAACAGAGCGAGACTCCGTCTCAAAAAAAAAAAAAAAAGAGCCTTACTGAATATATGATATGCAAATACTTTCCTCCATATTCTAAGGGTTGTCTTTTACTTTCTTGACAGTGTCCTTTGAAGCAGAAAAGATTCAGTTTTTTTTTTTTTTTTGAGACAGTTTCACTCTTGTTGCCCAGGCTGGAGTGCAATGGTGTGATCTCAGCTCACTGCAACCTCCGCCTCCTGGGTTCAAGCGATTCTCCTGCCTCAGCCTCCTGAGTAGCTGGGATTATAGGAACGTACCACCACACTCGACTAATTTTTGTATTTTTAGTAGAAACAGGGTTTCGCCGTGTTGGCCAGGCTGGTCTTGAACTCCTGACCTCAGGTGATCCACCCACCTTGGCCTCCCAAAGTATTGGGATTACAGGCGTGAGCCACTGTGCCCAGCCAAAGATTTAGATTTTGATGAAGCCCATGAAATACAGCATACTCATCTTCAGATTCTGGTTCACTACAGGACTGCCTCTTTGCCTAGTTCCAAACCTGACAACATGTGGACAAGGATATCTTTTCTTCAATGCCCTTAGGTCTAGACCCACAGGTTAAACCCAGACACAAGGATACTCTCTGACCTTAATGAAACAAGACTGGCGGTAAGGACAGCTGCAAAAGGGCAATAAGGTTTGGGGAGGTGATTTGGGTCTTTCATGTTGATCTACTTACCTTTGGTGCTGCACTTTCCTTCTTTTCATTCTGCCCACATCATTCTCAGAGTTTTGCTCCTCTGCTCTGGGCTCTGTATTAGAAATGCTCAATAAATATAGCTCTTAAACAAAACAGTCTTCACATGTGATGTTACTTCTTCTAAGAATATTCTTTCTACCCTCTTTGCCTGGAGGCAAAGAGTGTGCCTTTCTCACTCTTCCAAGTCTTAGATGAAATGCTAATTCCTATGTGGCACTTTCCCTGGATTCTCTAATCTACATCCAGTCATCCAATTATGCTTTTCCTTGACAGTACTCATCACAGTTTGAAGATTTAAATTTATCTGTGTGACACTGACATGTGTTTCTCCACTAGGGAAGGAGCATTGCTATTTTATTTACTGCGGTATCCCTGATGTCTAGCACAGAGCCTGGCACAAACGATGCTTAATAAATATTTGTCAAATGAGTGACAATAAAAACTATCAACTTCCATTCGTCTGGTTATCCTGAATTTATGAAACACTTTGTATAGCATTTAATATATTTTAAAGTGCTTTCATAGCTCCAGGGCCCAGCCTATAGTAGGTGCCCAAAAATTATGAGTTCCCTTCTAGTCTCTTTCTCTTAAAATAATAAACTACATCTTTCCTTCTGTGGTAGACAGCTGAGGCCCAAAGAGATAAGGATTGCTGATTCCTAGGCCAGTGCTCTTTCAATTACTATACAATATTTGATTTGTCTTCTGGTAACAAGACACCAACAATTATCTTTTCTATCACATGAAGTTCCACTAGTGAGCCATCCCTGTATAGCAATGGTAGATTCAGGGAGGAAGGGCATTGCTAGGGACAGGAAGGAACAGGTCATGTGGACTCACCTGCCCTGTCTGGAGGACTGGAACCTGATTCTGCATGGTTGTTCTTTGGGCTTGCCACACTGACTGGAGGCACCCTGCGGGCAGCAGAAAGCACCATGTGGGCTGAACGCCCCAGAGTCCCTGGCTGCATCTGTGTTAGGATATTCCTGAGCTCTGAAATTTCCTTGGTATCCCTGCAGGGAAAGAGAGTACTTGGTTCCACTTGAAATATAGGTCTTATTCTGCTCACTCATGTCAATAGCATTTAAGCAAGAAAGCTAGTTTAATATACAGATAGGGTTAGGCCTAGAGTATGTGATTAATTTGGTGAACCCAGGCTGGTCTTGTGTGCTTGGCAGTGACTTGATAGCATTTCTTTTCCAGGAGAAAGACCTGAGAGGTGGCTGGGAGACTTCCACTCTGTCAAGTACATACGTATGGGGATGTGGGAAGAATGTCCTCCGGATGGAAGGATTAGCTAGCCAGGGGCTAGGACCAGACTCCTGAGCATCAGAACCCTGAGGAAAAAAAATTGAGAGATATGAAATACCAAGATTCACCACCAGGGGACACTGCTACCTAGTGCCAGGGCCTACTCAAACTGTCAAACTACTCAAATGACTGAACTTTTTGGGGACGTTTATTTCATTATTTCCTTCTAAATATTATCAAATAATATTGTTTAGTTTTTAGTATGATTTATTTTGTGAACAATTTTGTTAACTTGCAACTAAAAACCTACCAATTTTAAGCCACAATTTCTAGCCATCTATAAAGAGATGTGTGTGTATGTATGCATAGAGATGTGTGTGTATGTATGCATATAGATGTGTCTCTAGCATTAGCCACCATACCTATCACAGGCATTTTATAACCTCCTTGCTCCAGAAATGTCTATGTGCAATAATCTCCCAAATAATTTCTGCATAGAGATTTTATTTATATTGTAGTATGCTGGTTTCTTAATTCTTTGTCAAAATTCAATTTATCTGTGATTATACCCCTACTTTTTAAAAAAGAGATGGGATCTCAGCCTCGGTACAGTGATTCGTGGCTGTAATCTCAGCACTTTAGGAGGCCAAGGTGGGAGGACTGCTAGAGCCCAGGAGTTTCAGACCAGCCTGAGCAACATAGTAAGACCCTGTCTATAAAAAAATAAAAAAATTAGCCAGGCATGGTGGTACATGTCTGTGGTCCTAGCTACTTGGGAGGCTGAGGTGCTGAGGTGGGAGGACTTCTTGGGCTTCAGAAGCCAAGGCTGCAGTGAGCTGCGACTGCACCACTGCACTCCAGCAAGGTGACAAGAGTGAGACCCTGTCTCAAATAAAAAGAAGAAAAAAAAATTGGGTCTTGCTCTACCCAGGCTGGGATGCAGTGGCAGGATCATGGCTCACTGTAGCCTTGAACTCTGGGGCTCAAGCAATTCTCTCACCTCAGCCTCTCGAGCAGCTGTGACCACAGGCTCACACCACCATGCCCAGCTAATTAAAACATTTTTTTTTGTAGAGACAAGGTCTCACTATGTTGCACAGGCTGGTCTCAAACTCTTGGGCTCAAGCGATCGTCCCTCCTCGGCCTCCCAAACCACTGAGATTACAGGCACGTGCCATTGCACCTGGCCCCTAATTATTTTTTCTTTTTTGAGACACAGTCATACTCTGCCATCTAGGATGGCGTGCAGTGGCATGATCTCAGCTCACTACAACCTCCGCCTCTCAGGTTCAAGTGATTCTTGTGCCTCAGCCTCCTGAGTAGCTAGGATTACAGGCGTGCACCACCACAGCCAGCTAATTTTTGTATTTTTAGTAGAAACAGGGTTTTGCCATGTTGGCCAGGATGGTCTTGAACTCCTGGCCTCAAGTCATCTGCCTGCCTCGGCCTCCAAAAGTGCTGGGATTACAGGTGTGAGCCACTGCTCCCGGCCTCCTAATTCCTTTTTCCTTTTTTATTTATAGAAATTTCCTTTTTCCCTTACCGTAAAAAAATTTTTGTCTTTAATTTTCAACTCTGATTCTTCTATCACAGGTTATTTTAAAGATAAATGTCTTTCTTGTAAAGCATGGCTTTGGCTTCATTCTACAAGCTTGAGTAGTATTTTCATTCTCATTAACTCTTTAATATTTTCTAATTACCATTACAATCTTTTCTTGGACCTAGCAATAATCCTGAAATTTTTTCTTTAATTTTCCAGGGTTTTCATTTTTTCTTTACCTTGTCTCATGAATGTTACAGTGAATGCTACTAGAAAGGGTAACTAGATAGGTGTGTAGAGATAGTTTATTTTAACCTTAACTCTAAGTGAGATTATCAGGAAATTAATTATTATAAAATGATTAATTATTAGCTTCTGAGCAAAGATTAGTTGGAATCAAGTGGCCCGGGTTCAAATCCACTTCAAGACTTATTTGGCAGTGTGACCTGGGTCACCCCACTAAATTTCTCTGTGCTTTTCTTACGAGAAAACTGGTGATCATAATAACCCCGTTTCACAGAGTTAAAAGCCCTATGTTTTGCTTTCACTATAACGTACCAATTAAAATGATTCATTAGGAAAAAAGTCTATGACGTTTTAGGCATCCTAAATTATAAAACTGAGTGCCATCAATCTGTAATCCCAGCTTACATGTAGCATCTGTCTCTTGCTGAAATGTTTCAGGTCATTCCTTCGCTACAGTTTCACGAAGTACCTGCCTGTATGTTTCACCCTGCTGCTGATGTTCAATACCCTTCTGACAAGGCTCTGCAGTTGCTGACTCCCTTTGACCTCCATCCCACCATGGTCCTAGAAGTGCAGGGTAATGTGGATGGCCAAAATGGAAAAGAACCCTGAGAAACTTTTGTTTATCCTAAAACTGGGGTGAACATAGGTACTGGTTTGCCTGGAACAGTCCTACCTTGTATCTGTTGTCTCCGTATAAAAGTAATAATGATAATTATTATTATTATGTTTTGAGACAGGGCCTCACTCTGTCACTCAGGCTGGAATGTAGTGGTATGATTATGGCTCACTGCAACCTTGACCTCCTGGGCTCAAGTGATCCTCCTACGTCAGCCTCCTAAGTATCTAGGACGACAGGCATGGGCCACCATGCCTGGCTAATTTTTATTTATTTTTTTCTTCAGACAGGGTCTAGCTCTGTTGCCTAGGCTGGAGTGCAATGGAACAATCACAGCTCACTGAAGCCTTGAACTCCCAGGCTCAAGTGATCCTACCACTTCAGCCTCCTGAGTAGCTGGGACTACAGGCGTACACCACCATGCCTTATTTGTTATTTTTTGTAGAGATGGGGTTTTGCTATGTTGCACAGTCTGGTCTCAAACTCCAGGGCTCAAGCGATCCATTCGCCTTGGCCTCCCAAAGTGTTGGGATTACAGGCATGAGTCACTGCACCTAATTTTTAAATTTTTTGTAGAGGCTGGGTGTGGTGGTACA